AGGCTGACGAGATCTTTGTAATGATTTCTCTCTCTGGGTGGTGTGTGGAGCAGGGCGTTGCCTACCCCGTGCCCTAAGAGTCTTGCAGTTGGTTTCTGGATCCTCCTGAACCTTTGGGTCCCAGCTGCAGGGAGGCTGAGCCCCGTGGCCGTAGCAACCAGGCAGAGCAGCAGGCAGGGGCAGGGCACAAGCTTCCCCCGCTCAGGAGGGCAACTTTCCTGTGCCCAGGGAAGCAGAGGGCGCCAGGGAACGCACGGCAGGCCCAGCGTCCTACCTCTTCTCATAGTCCAGGTCCCCCACCGACCCGTTCATCAGCTGGTTGGGCGTCCACTTCAAGGTCATGACGTCGGCCATCTGGTGCAGGGACAGATACCCCGGCACGGCCTCCATGTCGTCCCTCTGCAGAGAGAGGAGGACTCAGGCCCAGCCACAGTGCTGGAGTCACGGTGGACATCGGCCCAGGCCCACTGGACTCATGGACACATAATCCGAGCCAGGAGGTTGGGTCACTGCCTTCCATGCTACAGCCATTTGGAGGACCCTAAACCTCCTTCCAGGTGGCGGTGCTGAGCAAAGCCATCTGCAGCCGACCTTGCAGGACAGGTTCTACAGCACCAGCTGGGAAAGCCGCCCACCCCTCAACACTTTCACATTCTTGCCACCCTCCTGAGGTCCAGGGGCTCTGCCCCAGTGTTCCTTTAGGACCAGGAAGGAGGCTCTGTCCCTCTTAACATTACCCTTTCAAACGGAAAGCATTTGTCTTGGTCAGTCTTAAGGGAGAAAGAGACAGCAGCTGAGCTCTATGGCCCGTCCCGCAGACCTTACCCAGAAACCTTCCCCAACGTTCCCCTACTCTCCCTGCCCGCAGTGACCCGTGAACTTCCCAGAATTTTCCTAGAGAACTTCTCGCCTGCTTTGTTTTAGCCCAAATGGGTGTGTAGGGGAGGTGATGTCACCATCTCTCACACATGTAGAGGAGGAAGCCCCTCCACCAAATTCGCCCCAACGACAGGCAGAGACAGACATCTAACATTTACTGAGCACCAGGGTATGGTCTCAATTTAATCCCACGAGGGAGTGCCACTGCAGAATTTCACTGATCCGAAAAGGCACAGCTTGTTTTTTCAGATTTTAATGTACCTGAAATGGGGATGCATCTTATAACGGGTGGCATCTCACAACCGTGACGTAGTTGTCACTGACTGACCTCGCACAAACTCAGTCATAGCTGTTCATACTGCCGTCACTTCAATTAAGTTTTACGCACAGTTGTTATTCCGTAAGTAGGGTGTAGGGGCTATTTTAGATGTCTTTGTAAAGATTAGACTGTGATTCAGCTTTGAGCTGAAAGGCTATCGTGAACACAGGAAGGCTGAGAACAGCTCAGCAGAGCTCTAATGTGATATTGGTGAAGAAGGCACATCATTCATCCCTGCAGGGAGGACACAACTCTAGCTTTTCTTGCAAAGCAACAACCAAGCCCTTGCCAGGACTTAAGAACCATCCCAGAGATGACAGTGGACACTCTTGCAAGAAATGCTGCACCTCCTGTGCTCTTGGATAAGGGGCCACCAAACTTTTTGTGTAAAAGGCCAGAGAGGGACTATTTTTGGCTTTGTGAGCCATACAGGCTCAGTTCCAACCACTCAACTCTGTCATCCCAGCCTGGAAGCCGTCACACACAATGTGCAAACTGACGGTCATAGTTGTGTTCCAATAAAACTTTATTCACAAAAACAGTTGGAGGGCCGCCTTTGGCCCATGGAATATAGTTTGTTGATCCCTTCTCTTGATGGAACAGAAAGTGATATGTGGAAAAATAAGGGCATTGAGAACTCTGTATCACTCAAAGAGTGACACAGAAGATGGAACTCTGAACTGGAAGAAGTTTTAGGGCTATTTCAACAAATGTATTTCAGTGATATTTTCCCTTATGTGTACTTATAAAAGTGATGTATGATTGTAAAAAAAACACAATAAACTATGTCCAAATAAATCCCAAAGATCTCTTTGAAAAGCATAAGCTAAAATTTCTAAGTACTAAAAAAACACTTGCATATACTCTAAATAGCATTTTTAATTTCTCAATGGTTGTGTTAAAAATGGTGTATCTGAAATACATGGCTTCTTAGATTTAAGGAAATAGTCTTGTACTCATTATGATGAAAACACTGTGGCTTGGAGGAGGAAGTGACTTGCTCAAGGTCACTGAGGGATTGAAACTGTGACCACAGAGCTGGACTGGCTGACAGCTCTCCCTCTGCTTCCTCCCAGTTGGGCCCCAATACTATACTGACTCTGTGACCAAATGGCCCTGGGGAGGGGACAACCAAAGGTGACATTGCATGAGGTGCATGTGCCCAGCATATGCCTGGCTCACCACCCATCTCTGCAGACAAGCCAGGTGCTGGGGCACAGAAGGTGACTACGCGGTGGCATGCACTCTGGCACCAGCTGGCCTGAGTTCAGTTCATAACTCTGCCCCATACTTTGCCTGTGATAGTACCTTCCTCACAGGGCTGTTGTGAGGCTTGAATGAGTTAATACAGTTTAGAGCACTTCACACAGTGCTCAACACATAGGAAACACTCAATAAATATCAGCCATGAGGATGTGGTTTGGATACCCCATGCATCTGGCACCTTGCAGGTCCGTGGAAATATCTGCTGAGTGAGTGAGTGAGAACAAGAGTGAATAGATGGACAGAAGGCTAGGTGGGCAGGGAAGTGGACAGATGGACTAGAAAATAAATGGACAAATTGACAGATGGATGGATGCAAAGATAGGAAGATGGATGGATGGGTGGTTATAAATATAGACGGATGAATGGATGGTGGGTGGATGAATGAATAGATGGGTGGATGGGTGAATGGAC